TAGCGATATTCTATCCTTTGAGCGTACTTCGATTGATTGATTGATTGATTGATTGATTGATTGATTTGTGGGGTTTAACGTCCCAAAACCACCATATGATTATGAGAGACGCCGTAGTGGAGGGCTCCGGAAATTTTGACCACCTGGGGTTCTTTAACGTGCACCCAAATCTGAGTACACGGGCCTACAACATTTCCGCCTCCATCGGAAATGCAGCCGCCACAGCCGGGATTTGATCCCGCGACCTGCGGGTCAGCAGCCGAGTGCCTTAGCCACTAGACCACCGTGGCGGGGCTTTGAGCGTACTTCAAACACTTAGTGTATGAAATCTTTTCGAAATTGCAATGCACCCACACGTGGCCTTAAAGGAATAGGTGCAGTAACGTGTGCGACTTTTGTAGTGGATGGCTGGCAAGACTATTTTGTGACATTAATATTACGCCACTACAAGACATCATAGCTTCGTCCAAATTCATCCCGGAGGCATTGTAAAACAAGGTGAGGTTTCTCCGAGACAGAGAGAGAGAGAGAAAAAGACGTTTTCCCTGAAGCAGTACGAAACCACATAAGATGCAAAAAGCTTTCCTACAGTGACGGGGCATCATCAATATACCGATTCAAAAGAAACAGAAGATGGTTTCATAACTAACTTCATAACTAACTATGAAGAACGATCTGTGAATGATAACTGGATGCTTTTCAAAAACAAATTATTATCTTTGCTCAACGAACATCTACCCACCAGAAGGATTTGCACTAAACCTCGCTCTCCTTGGTTTAGTTCCACTTTACGCAAACTCCGCAGCAAAAAGAAGCGTCTGTTCCGAAGCGCTAAACGTTCTAACCTACCCTGCCGTTGGTCTGAGTACTATAGCATAAACAAGAAGTATAACGACGCTGTTAGCAACGCAAAAACAACATTTTTTTTAATTCCACACTGCCTGCTCTTCTTCAGACTAATCCCCGCAAATTTTGGAGCATAATGAGAGGCGAATCTCGATCTAATATTCAATTAACATGTTCTGACCTGGTTGTACCACCTGACCAATGCTGCACGGTTCTAAATAATGCTTTTTCTTCAGTGTTTCAAACAACAGCCCCTTCATTATATCCCCATGTACCCCATGCCGATTTTCCGCCCATGGAACCTATTTTTGTTGGCTGGGTGGGCTTAACTAGGCTAATTCGGGGTTTAAAAATGTCTTCTTCTGCAGGCCCCGATGAAATTTGCTCTAAAATGTTGAAATTAACAGAAGTGTATTCATCCATTGTCCTTGCAAAGCTTTTTCATCAGTCATTACAGTGTTCATCGCTACCTGCTGATTGGAATTCCGGAAAGGTGGTTCCCGTCTATAAGTCAGGTAACCCGCATCTTCCAGAAAACTATCGACCAATATCTCTCACCAGCATTTCCCGTAAGCTACTCGAACATATTATTTTCTCTCATTTAATGAACTTCTTTAAACAAATTCCTTTTTTCATCCTTCCCAACACGGCTTCAGGAGAACATTTTCATGCGAAACCCAACTACAGTGCAGTCCACTTATAACGATACCACATATAACGATATATCGGTTATAACGATGGGTCGACCTAACAGTCTCATTTTATGCATTGGGGCTATGGGGAAAAAAAACCATATATAACGATATGTTATCCACCGCATATCGGATACAACGATAAAAAGTTTGCCGTGGACGGCATGTTTCATTCAGAATAATCGTAACATTTAGATTGATAAGTTCCTCTGAAACGAACTATGCCGAGACAAGACGAAAAGTTAGCGTAGGCGAGTACCTGCCGCCACTGCAGCACAGCGCCGGCAGCGCGTCCCAGCCGTGCAAAAAGCCGAGGAGAGCGTCGCGAGTTGGCGCGACGCGCTACAGATGGCGCCAGCTGTGTCACGTTTTGCGCCTCGCCGCGCGTCGACCGCGGAGAGGCTAAGAGAATTTAAAAAAAAAAAAAAATTGCGAAAAGCAAAGCGCCGCGCTCCGCGGCTCCCCGCCCTCTACAACGGCAAGCCGGCAAGCTACTCGTAGCTTGCCGAACCAAAGCGATAAGAGAGAGAAAATAAAAAAAGCGAAAAGCAAAGCGGCGCGGCGGCATCGGGGTGGGGCCTCGTTGGCATTCCGGCTGTGTACCTCTGGCTGTGCTTTCTTCCTCCCACTGCTCCCACCCCGCCGTCGGTCAGTCTCTCTTCCTCAGCGAACCCGTCATGCGTTCTTCGGAGTAAGAAATAAAGTCTTGTTTTGACATCCTACTATCTACAATATTTATTGATTGGTGAAAATAGCGAAATGAAGCCTGGAGCTACAAAAGGTACGTCCGGCGACGATTTTTGGCGGCAGTCCAGATATAACGATCACCGGTTATAACGATCATATTTTTAGGTTTTCTCGATATCGTTATAAGTGGACTGCACTGTAGTATCTTTCACTAACGATCTCTTTGCCAATTCTGACGAAGGTTACGACACTCATTGCATTTTTCTTGATTTTCATAAGGCGTTCGATACCGTTTCTCATGAACTCCTCCTCGTTAAAATATATCAATTGAACCTTGACCCTAATTTGCTTGGCTGGATTAAGTTCTTTCTCTCTAACAGGTCGCAGTATCTGACTGCTAACAACTGTTCTTCCGATACCTCTGCCGTAACATCAGAGGTGCCGCAGGGCTCTGTGTTAGGTCCATTGTTATTTTTGATTTATATAAACGACCTTCCTAACTGTGTTAAGTTTTCAACCATTAAATTATTTGCTGATGATTGTGTGCTGTATTCAAAAATCACTAACCCAACTGATTCCATCAGACTTCAGAATGACCTAGATAACGTGTCTCTTTGGTGTCGTGGCTGGCGGATGAAACTTAATTCAACAAAATGTAAAAGCATGCGTGTATCTCGACAAACTTCAGCTTATAACACTTGCATGTATCTTTTTAATGATGCTCCCTTATCCTCAGTGCACTCGTATAAATATCTTGGGCTTAACATTACTAACAATCTATCCTGGCAGAAATACGTCGAATACGTCACCAATAATGCTAACCGCATCCTCGGATATTTGCGACGAAACTTTTCTTCGGTACCCATGTCAGTGAAACTAAACCTTTACAAAACGTTAGTACGCTCTAAACTGGAATACGCATGCGCCATCTGGGATCCCGGTCAAGTAACCCTAACTCTCACTCTAGTAGCCGTTCAAAACCGCGCAGCCCGTTTCATTTTGTGCAATTATTCCCGTCATGCCAGCGTCACAGCCATGAAAAAAACTCTGAACCTAACCGACTTATCGTTCCGTCGAAAATGCTCTCGCCTTTCTCTTTCATAAAATTTATCATTACAATACATCTTTAAAAGAGAGCCTTCTCTCTTCCCCATCTTACATTTCACCTCGTTTCGATCATTGCTTTAAAGTAGGTGTGCCATTTTGCCGAACAAACCACTACAGTGATTCCTTCATTCCCAGAACAAGCAAAGACTGGAACTGCCTTTCCGCTGCCACCACATCCCTCATCGACCCTGCGAACTTCAAACTCTCCATTTTGCAGCAATTGTAACTTACTTACTTCACTTACTTTTTGTTGTATAACCCCCACTCCTTTCTGTAAAGCCTTCGGGCATGGAAAGTATTCAAATAAATAAATGAATAAATGGTCTGCGCCTCGGTTATCTTAAGCAAGTGCGTCAGGAAATTTGTGAGTTTTTTATTGTTGTTGTTATTGTAGTTTCTGCCATTGTCCTTGCAACACCCCGTAGATGTCCCTTGCCTGCCGGATGAGCCCGAAACGCCCGTCATCTATGGAGGCGCTGCCTACGTAGGAGTAAGGGTCTTTGTACTTGGCCTTTGAGATCAGCAGTTTTGGCGTTTGCTACTAATTTCAAAGGCTATGCCTTGTATTGAAAAAGTTGCTTGCTGAATGACAGTGTCACTTATGTAGGCTTAATAATAATTACGTTTACGCCTTTTTTAAACTTTTTACGTTATTTTTGTTGCATATAAGCTCCAGAAACGTAAAAACTTATTTGAAAACACCCCTCCTTGAGTGGCGCCACCACCGTAGTTCCGACGACCGCCGCTTCTCAAGTGACAGCCGATAATCCGGCACGCAAGGGAAATCCAGGAGGCGTTGTTCCTTGTTATTGGCGGAAGTCCCAACAGCGGTTACTTCAGCTAAACCAACGACAGAACACAGCAGCACTCACACGCAGTAGACAGCCAAAACATTGCGAACGTGTTTTTAAATATAAATGTTGTTTTTGCAACTTATATAGTTCGTTGAAATTTAGAAAAAGAAATCACAGCATATCTACGAAGTGAATGATGATGAGTGGGGTGAAGCTTTAAAAGGTTTTATCGGCAAACCGTGAATCATCCGCTAGCCGCGTCCATCCGTCCGTCCGCCCATTTGTCTGTCTCTGTCCGTCCGTCTCTGTATGTATGTATGCATGTATGTATGTATGTATGTATGTATGTATGTATGTATGTATGTATGCATGTATGCATGTATGTATGTATGTATGTATGTATGTATGTATGTATGTATGTATGTATGTATGTATGTGTGTGTGTGTATGTATGTATGTATGTATGTATGTATGTATGTATGTATGTATGTATGTATGTATGTATGTATGTATGTATGTATGTGCGTATGTATGTATGTATGTGCGTATGTATGTATGTATGTATGTATGTATGTATGTATGTATGTATGTATGTATGTATGTATGTATGTATGTATGTATGTATGTATGTATGTATGTATGTATGTCCATCTGTGCATTTAGTGAACAGTCCAAGTAGCGCGATCTTGGATCTTTTCATCATATATGACATATACAAGTACTGCCCATCCAGCGGGCATTCAGAAGACTGAAAGGAGAGGTGGCCACTACATACAGCAGCCGCACAGCACCCACGCCTTAAGGAGCTTCGCCCCTGAATATTGAATGTCAACACGTGCGTCTATATCGCTCAAAAAGTGAATCTTGCACCCACCTGAGCGCGTAGTGACAGCAATGCGTTGTCGCCGGCCAACGGAGCCCAGGCGTCGTATTCCTGCATAAATAAAGGGCATGCATAAACTCCACACTTTTCGCACAATCGAATTCTGTAAATCTAGTACCACATAGACTATGCGCCGCACACCTTCGAGCCTTCTCAAGTATTCGATATATATATATATATATATATATATATATATATATATATATATATATATATATATATATATTGAATTAACTTGAAGATAGCACATAAGAAAAGGATCGTATTTACTGTGTGCTATCTTCAAGTTAATTCAATATAGAAAATACCCGGACCTGTCGTGCCTTCCCTTCAAGTTCTATATATATATATATATATATATATATATATATATATATATATATATATATATAGCAATGGAAACGAAAATGGTGAGAGAAGACAAGCGGGTTAGCGGGAGACAGAAGGTTAGGTGGGCAGATGAGATTAAGAAGTTTGCGGATATAAATTGACAGCAGCAAGCACAGGACCGAGTTAACAGTGGCGGAACATGGCAGGGGTCTTTGTCCTGTGGTGGACGTAGCGAAATCCACCTGCTGTTTTTTAAGTATTTACCAGTCATTTTCCTGGTTCGCTTCCTCCATTTCGTATCGACATTCTTCATGTACAAGTAGCTGAAAACCTTTCTAGCCCAATGGTCCTCCCCTATTTCTCTGAATCGCTTCTGAAATTTTATCTTGCTGCTAGCTTCCCTGCCCTCAAATGATCTCCATCCCATATCACCCTGTACTCCCTGATTTGGTGTATTCCCGTGAGCTCCTAAAGCAAGCCTATCTATTCCACGTTTCTTAATTTCTAATCTTGCTTGAACTTCTGATCTCATGCACAAGAACGCATTGCCGAACGTCAGCCCAGGAACCATTACCCCTTTCCATATTCCTCTCACAACATCATACCTATAGTAATTCCACAGTGCCCTATTTTTCATCACTGCTGCATTCCTGTTACCTTTAGTCGTCACGTATATTTCGTGTTCCCTCAAGTACTCGGTCCCACTGCTTATCCATACGCCCAGATATTTGTATTTATCTGTTATCTCTAGCGTGACCTCCTGTATTCTAAGCTCACTACCTTCGTTGTCATTGAAAATCATGACTGCTGATTTTTCCTTACTGAATCTAAAATCTAACCTATCTCCTTCATTACCGCAGATGTCCAACAATTTCTGCAAATCTTCCTTGTTGTTGGCCATAAGCACTATATCATCTGCGTACATTAATGCTGGTAGTGCCTGATCGATGAGTTTTCCTTGTTTGACTAAAGAGAGGTTGAAGCCCAGTCCACTTCTCTCTAATTAGGCCTCTAATCCTTGTAGGTACATCATGAATAATTAGGGTGACAGGGGACACCCCTGCCTGAGCCCCCGTTTTACCTTTGCAAACTTGGATACCTGTTTTTCCCACTCTATAACTACCTTGTTACTTTTATAGATATCCTTTAAAAGATTAGTGACTACATGTTCCACGCCTAGTGTGTCCAGTATTCCCCACAATTCCTCTTGAACCACGCTATCGTACGCTCCCTTGATATCCAAAAATGCTAGCCACAGGGGCCTGTGTTCCTTTTCTGCTATTTCGATGCACTGCGTCAGTGAGAACAGATTGTCTTCCAACCTCCTGTGTTTCTGAAACCCAATCTGCAGTTCCCCCAGCATCCCCTCATCCTCTATCCATGCCTGCAGTCTTCACAATCTGCATCACCAGCCTGTATACCACTGATGTCACTGTTATAGGACGGTAGTTGTCTATGTCAGCTTTGTCGCCCTTTCATTTATAGATCATGCTCATCCTGCTAAGTTTCCATCCATCGGGAACTTCACCATCGATTATTATTTTGCTCACTGCCTCTCTCAAAGCCTGCTTAGACTTCGGACCACATGATTATGAGAGATGCCGTATAGTGGAGGGCTCCGCGAATTTCGGCCACCTTGGGTTTTTTAACAAGCTCATAAATCTAAGCACATGTACGGGCCTCAAGCATTCTTGCCTCCATCGAAAATGCAGCCGCCGGGGATTTGATTCCGCGACCTTCGGGATAGCAGTCTAGCGCCATAAACATTAGACCACCACTGCGAGGCGAGATGAGCTTGAGAACCCCCGTCCTAGACCCATAATCACGACTGCGGCAGCTGTCTGGTCTTTTCCGGGAGGAAGATGGTGCAGTGTTGTGGATCCTGCGGTCTGCATGTAGCATTCTTGACAGCTCAGAGTGCAAAGAATGTGCTCTCGGAGAAGCTATTGAGTACCGCCGGTGTTACTAGCCGACATACGCAAACGAGAGGATTCAAATTCGTACCGCTTCAAATCACCCGTGCGGTAGCGCTTTCACTGTCGGGAAGATACTAGGACCAGGAGGTTGCCCATCACAGTTCCACAAAGGAAAAAAAAGCGCTACTGCGTTTTTAAAAGGATACAGGACTGGTTTGCCACTTATGATATTAAACGTGGTATCGCTACGTCATACGCAACTGTGAGTGGCGTACTATAGCGTGCTTAGCTGGAACCAGCCAAATAGTCGACCACTGTGTGCTTCCAGGACATGTGCGACGAGCTTCAGTGAAGCCACAGACTCTGGTACGTGAAGGCGTGCCGCTAGCGATGTGTATCTGAGCCGTGTGCTTTATTAAATAGTTTGTTCAGTCGAGAGTTTTCCTCGAACCAGCACAAGCCTCACATTTGGCGCAGTCGGCAGGGTTCAAACTTTGTGGGGATACCCCAATGAATATTTCGCCTTTATACTCTCCTCTAGAGCTTTCCTTCCGCTTACCCAGGGCAGGGCAGTCCTCCATAGGCAGCCCTGGTTAGCCTTCCTGTATTTATTTTATCCTTATTCTCTCCCTTTCTCACTTCATTTCAAAGGTGCCGTGGGTACACTTGCCGCCAGGGTATCGTAAAATATCCCCATCGGGTAGATTTCACCTTGGAATAGACTTAGACGAATGCATAATTAAGGGACCCTATTAATTATCTTTCGTTTCGTTGTGTAGTTATAGATTCATTGCCTTGTTTTTCTTATTATATAGTGATCGATGCTGTCTCCTGCTTTTATTTGTTTTAACATTTGGAAACGTTTGTGAAACGCCCGTGAACTCGTTAAGAGTTTGCTACAGTCTCAAGCTAAGAGAAAAGTGATGCTTCTTAAGTTATACAATTTTTTTTAAAACTCAAGTGACGATTCCGCATTTGCCTACCGACTGGCAAACAGCCGAAATGTCACACTTGACGAGCCTACATCCTGTTTCTTCATTTAATGCATTAACGCTATGCAAATGAGGCAACATATTGGAGCTGTTCACGGTGATTATGGCACTTGGCTGCTGACCCCAAGGTCGCGTGACGGAATCCAGGCCGCGGCGGCTGCATTTTCAATGGAGGCAAAATGCTTGAGACTCATGTGCTTAGATTTAGGTACACCTTAAAGAGCACCTTCCGGTATAAATTTCCAAAGCACTTGATTACGGCGTCCCTTCTATAGTCGTATTATGGTTCTTAACGTACAATGGCAAGATTGGATTGGATTGGATAAACTTTTATTTGGTCCTCCAAAACACAGATCACTGTGTTGCGGGCAGCTCCCACGTGGGGACTGAGATGCCAAGCTCCTCAGCCGCCTCGCGGGCTTGGTGGACAGCCCAGAGCTGATCTGCCAAGGACGAGCTGCGGATTGCCGCCTCCCATCTGGCAGAGGTGATGTGCGATAAATGAACGAATTTGGTGCACTGCCAGAGCATGTGTTCTAATGAAGCTATTTTCCCACAATGTGGACAAAGATTACTTGGGTATAGGTCAGGGTACATGATGTGTAACATTTTCAAAGTAGGGTACATCCGCGTTTGCAAAAGCCTTAATGTAAGTGCTTGGGGCCGGGTTAGATTTTTGTGAGGTGGAGGGAAAATCCTTCTAGACAGGTAGAAATGTTTAGTGAGCTCGTTATATGTTGTAAGGATTTCCCGGTTATCCCCTTCACCGGTAGAACGCATCCCCGGGGAGGCGCGGTTGGAGAGTTCTCGCGCCGCCTCGTGTGCTGCTTCGTTGAGATTGGGAGGGGAATCGTTGATTTGTCCAAGGTGAGCTGGGAACCAACTCAGAAGATGATGTGTTATGTTTTTGTCTTGCAGTATTTTCAGCGTTTGTTCACAGACCGTCCCCTTGGCGAACGCCCGTAGTGCTGCCATGGAATCACTGTAGACCACTTCAATGTTATCCATCTTGAGTGCTAAGGCGATGGCCACTTGTTCCGCAATGATTGGGTCTTTCGTCCTGACCGTCGCTGAGTTGACGACATGGCCAGCCCCATCGACTACCACTGCCACAAACGCTTTCCCATTGGCGTAGGAAGCCGCGTCAACAAATACGACCCCTCGTTCCTCGTTTGAGACTTGACGAAGTATAGTCCTGGCCCTCGCTACTCTTCTTCCGACGTTGTGTTCTGGATGCATGTTTCTCGGTATAGGAGATACCGTGATAGTCTCCCTGATGTTGTCAGGGATATCATTGTAGTTGCGTCTGATTGCTATTGGGTGTTGGCCCAGCTCCTGCAGAATCATTCTCCCCGACCTTGTAGTAGATAACCTTGCAAACTGTGCTCTCTCTTGGGCTTCTGCTATTTCTTCGAGCGTGTTGTGTATGCCAAGCTCAAGCAGACGCTCGGTGCTGGTATGTATGGGTAGGCCCAGGACCTTCTTGATAACTTTCCTGAGGAGCACATTCAGTGTCTCGGACTCTGCTCTTGACCAGTTGTGCATTGCTGCCTCGTATGTGAAGTGACTTAGAACAAACGCATGCATCAACCTGATGAGGTTGTCTTCCTTGATCCCATTTCTTTTGTTGGCCACTCTGCGTATGAGGTGCACCGCACTGTCTGTTTTCCGAGTTAACTTGGCTATAGTACAATGGCAAGAAGTATTATTGTTATTCATTTTTGCGTTTCAAACCCACAATAAATAAATTATTTCTTTGATGCACTCTTCATGAATTCGAAATTATAACTGCCTTCTTCATAATACATGTAAT